TGGGGGGTGGGGTAGGAAGGATAGGGGTGGGTTGGTGGGTGTGGGTGGGTTTGCGGGAAGGGGGTAGGGGGCGCACACCAGGCGGTGGGGCTGCGGCGTGGGTGGTGCGTTAGTGGTGCGAGCATGCGGCCGTGTTGGTGCCGAAACGCAGGAGCGTCTCGCCACCTAGATTTGAGGTTCTCATTCGCCCCAAAACGAGGGGGCGTATCGGCCGGAGTGGCAGGGGCCGCGCCGGCGCGTCCGTAGGGCATCCGTGCCGCCGGCAGGGGGACAGGCCCGCCGCGCTCCTCCACCCCCAGCGCCCGCCCCTGCCGCTCCCCGCCCCACGCGCCCTCGCCCGACGCGCACGAAAAATCCGACCACCCCCCATCCCCAGACGCGGCTCCGCCTAGAACGACCCACCGGGGTCGGCCTGGGGGCAGCAAAGGCATCGAAACAAAACCAAAAACCCTTGACACTCCCAAAAGCCCTCAACCCTCACCCCTCAACACCCAGGCGTCCCACCTGCACCACCGCACGGCCCAGGCTGCCCGCCCTGTGAATGATGTTGCTCTTGTTGGTCGGGTCCTCGTCGCCCGGCCCCGGCTCCCCTGACTCTTCGGATTCCAGCTCGTCATCGACTGACAGGTTCAGGTCCTGATGACGGCCAAATCGGGTGACGTGGGGCGGGTGTGAGGGTGGAGAGGGGCGCGTGTGAGCGGGAGGGGCAGGGTCCAGAGGGGTGGCGGCGGATTGCCGCTGGTGGGTGCATGGGAGGGGTGTGTGGGGCTCTTATTGCTTGATCGAACCACACTGCATTGATTGCTTGATAGGACACACCACATTTGTGGGGCATAAAATACCGTACACTGCATTCCAGCTTATTTGAAATGGGATGGATGGGAGATGGAGGGGCTTGGTGGCTTTCACGTTGAAGAGAGGGGTGGCTGGAATCCCAGTGTCAGCTGCGGATTGTTAATCACTGGGATTGCAGCTCCCCACGGGGGTGAAGGGTGTGAATTGCAGAGAGAGTTGACCCGGTTTGACCGCAGAGGCAGGATGCCGGGAGGGTCCGAGGGGCGATTCGGCGCCGAGCGCCCCGCATTTTTGTTAACAGGGAATTGGACGCGCCCCTTCGTTGGGGCAGGCCTTCAAACCGCGCCGGCCCCCCGCCGCGCGGGGCCGACTCAGTGCCCGCGGCGGCGGCCGCGTTTGGCAGCCGGTCCCCGCTCTCTTGCGGCCGGGAGCTCCGTTGGCGGGCGCCGCCGCCGCGGCGGCGGGGCGACGCCGATCACGAGGCCCCCTGTTTTGCGCTTGGCCTGCAAGCCGAGCCGAGCCGAGCCGAGAGAAATCACCCCTGGCGTCGCCAGCGCATCTCCCTACAGGAGTGCCTGCAGTGTCCCAGCAATCCCCGCTGGCCCAGAGCCGCCCGCCCATGGGGCAGCGGCGCGGGGCGGCGGGGGCGGAAGGCAGAGAGCCGCCAGCTCGGCCAAGCACACCCGCCATCCACCCCTCGGATTGCCAACGCTCGCTGCCTCAAGCCCTGACGTCTTTCCTAGGCCAAAAGCGAGCGAGCGCTGCTATGTTGACAACCAGCCAGGGCGTGAGAAGAGGCGGGCGGAATCCGGCGAGAACCTGGGGCGAAGCTGCGACACCCACCTTGAAATTCACGACCTGCAGGTTCCTACGCTCCGTGCCGGCCGCGGACGACGCCACCGTTGCCCGCGGCTCCCCGCGGCGCGACTTCCCAAGCTTGCCCCGCCAGAACTCCCTGGGTTGGGCGGGGGCAGTGCACGGAGGGCGGGCGGGCGGCGGGGTGCGCCGTGCTGGGTGTGCCGGGTGTGCGCGCTGGGGCGCCGATCCGCGTCGCCGCTGCTGCCGCGGGGCGTGCTGCCTCGCTGCAGGGCGCGTCATTGAATGATCCCAGCGAGCATTTTGGAACCCCGGTCTCCTGGGCAGGGCCTTCCGTGGGTGGCTTTGAAACCACCCAGATGCGTTCAGGGTGCCCCACTGCTGGGAGCTGCTGAACCCTTTCAAGCGCTACCAGCGACTTTGATGCATGCCCATTGCGTCGCACGCACCACATGCTTAGCGAAGATCACGGCCCTGGCACCTGCAGACTGTTGCAGAAGCGTTTTACTACTGTATAAGAGTAGGAAGTGAACGCACTCAACGGACGAGGCAAACGCAGTGCCTGCTTGCAAAGCTTGTGTATCATGCACACCGCTCGGACCGCCCAAGACAACAGCAGCTCGCCCCAGCGGCCCGCCGCCCCTGAGCCCCCCCCCCTTCAGCTGGGCCGGCCAGCCAACCCCCTGCACTTGCCAAGCGGTGACCGGCCACTGAGCCCTGTCACACCTTGTTGCTGCCGCCCCCAAGTTCGCTGGGCAGCCGCTGGAGAGATTGTCGCCCTTGCAATTGTCACTGTCAGTTTAAAATGTCACCAGCCTGCGGTTGGCAGGACGCGCCCACCTACCCCTAGAGCCATGGATGCCACGCGAGAGAAAAGGCAAGCTTTTACTGTACTGACGAGCCACCGACGCTGCACTACGGGCGACAACAAATAGGACTGCACACCAGCAATGCTTTGAAAAGGAATGCGTTGCCCGCGGCCGCCAAAGGGGCACACCCGGGTGCCACCAGCGGCGCGGCGCGGGGCGCGGCGTGCATGCAGCATGCATGCGTGCTGCACACATGGCCCGTCTGGCCCCCCATTGAGCCATCACGCGCGCGCGCGCGCGCGTGGCAGCTGGGGCAATGGTTGCGTTGAGGCGGGGGTTTGGGGCCGCAGAGGCTGAAGAATGCAGCTTGCATTTGCGACTCTTTGGGAACTGAAAACTGAAAACTGAACACTGAACTACGCCATACTGGCACCCGTGACTCCCTGAACTCTCAGTCATGCAGCAGGCGCGCGCGCATGCGCGCGCTCAACACATGCACACGCCCGCACGCGCAACGCTGGGGCGAGACGCAGCACCAAGGGGCAGACGGCCCTGGCCCGGAATGGCGCCCGGGCCGCTGCCACAGGCACGCGTGCGCGACAAGGGTCAAAGCACAAAATGACTCTTTGCGTTCACGCGCCGCCGCCCCGGGCCCAAAGCGGCCGCGGGGTTGCGGCGCGTAGATGGCGTATGCATGTATCTGAGGACGAATAAGAGCGGGTGCGGATAAGAAAGAGCACACGGCAGGGGCAATGGCGGGCCGTGGGGACCACGACACTGGGAGCCAGGGCTTCCCTGAATTGCAAAACTGGCGCCGCCTCGGGCCCCTGCCAGGCCCGCCCTGCCGCTGGACGCACCACAGGTGCGGCGCCACGCCGGGGCGGGCGGCAGGCCGGCGTTTCGAAGGGGCAGGGCCCGCGCGCGCCCGGCGGCCGCGCGCGGCTGGGCCGCCGGGCGCGCCGCAGGAGCGCCGCCGGGCAGGGGGCGGGCCTGCAAACATGCTGCGTATCATCAGTGTTAGCGCCGCTGCGGAATGGGGTATTATAGCATCGAGCCAAGCCAGGGAAGGGGTGGGGTGGTGGGAGGCGAGGAAAGGGGTGGTCCAGAGACACCTCGGCGCAGCCGGGCGCCGCCGCCAGGCCGCCACCGGCGGCTGGGTGCGTGCGCACTGGGGGCGCGGCGCGTCCCGGCGGCTTCAGGCCCGGCTGCGCCGTGCGCCAAGCACATGCGACATGGGCCGAGCGTGGCGAGCGCGGGGCCGCGCCAGGCGCAGACGCGCGCATGGATGCGGCGCGAGAGGAAAAGAATTGCGGAGGCCGGAGGGTCGGAGTGGGGTGAGATGAATGCAGTTAGAAGAATGGTACATTTAAGATGCGCCCGATAAGGCGCGCCGCAAGGGGGCCAGCGCGCTCGCGGACTGCGCGCCCGCCGCGCCGCCATCGCCACCGCCGCTAAGGTGGCCAGCAGGCGGCTGCGCCATCGAAAAGGTCGAAAAAGCAGACCTGCAGGTCTGCCGTGCGCGCGTTGGCGCACTTGCGCGTGCGTGTGTGCACCAAGAGCGTGGGTCCAGAAATGGGCCTCGCACATGAGTGGCCGCCGTCGCCCGCAGTGTCATCCTTCTCGTCATATCACTTGTGACCATGCTGGGCCCGCCAAGGAAGGCGACCGGGGGGCAGGGAGGGCGACAATGGATGCGCCACATCTGCCCGCGCAGCGAAGCGACGACAGCGGACACCAGCCGCCGAAACGGCATCGTCAGCTGCGTGTCGACCACGCCACCCGGACGCCGAGCAGGGCGGCCGCCGCGCGGCGGGCAGGGCCGGGTACCCGCTTCATGCCCCGCGTGCGACGCCTGCTTTTCAGGCCGTCACCGCCCCAGGAGCGCCGGCGGCGCCGACGGCGAGGACGACACGTTGACAAAAAAACGCCCCCGCCGGAAAAAAGCGACCGCCTGCGGCGGCGCTGCAGCCGCGGCCAAGGCCGCCTTGGACGTGCGGCACGCTACGCCCGGCAGCGCACATGCAGCACCCGAGCCGCACGCCCGCGCGCGGCCGCGCGGCGGCGGCGGACTGCCGTCGCCGCCGCACGTGCTGTCGCTGCTGATGCTGCCGCCGCTCCCGTCGCTGCCCTCGCAGCGCGCGAGGTCATTGGCCGAAAGCGGCGGCAGGGGCGCAGCATCGGCCGCCGAAATCAGCGGCACACGCTCGCTCTCGCCACCCAGCAGCGGCAGCGGGGGGCAGCTGCTGCTGCTCGACCATGTAAAGCCGCCGCCGCCGACGTCGGCACGCGGCACAGGCACGCGCGCTGGCACGGGAATTGCGCAAGAGGTGGCGTCAGGCACGCTGGCGCTGCGCACCAGGCCCGCCGCCGCGCACGCGGCTAGCGGGGACGCCGCGCGGCCCACCGCAGCGGGCGCCGAGCCGCGCCACGCGAGCAGCTGCTGCTGCTGCTGCGCCGGCAGCACGCCCTCCTGCACCGCAAACCTGCCGCGCTGGTAGCTGCGGACGGGGGTTTGCGGCGGCGCCCAGGGCAGCAGCTCGAGCGGCGCAAACGGCTCACATGAGTCTGCGTCAGATGCGTCCGCAGGGGACAGGGGCGTGGCCCAAGGAGAAGGCAGCATCACCTGCTTCACGCCTGCCGCCGCTGCGTCCGGGGAGGATGGCAGCAGCACCGCCCCGCCAGCCACGGGCCGCGCCGTGGCCGCGGCAAGCACGGCGGCC